TACTTCACTCTCAGGGCGGCTAGGATCTGGAACCAACTTTCAAGCGAAGTGATGCTGGCTCCTACCCTGGAGGTGTTTAAGACAAGGCTAGACGAACACCTTGCCGGCGTCATTTGACCCCAGTGCTTTTTCCTGCCAAGGCAGGGGGTTGGACTTGATGATCTACTCAGGTCCCTTCTGACCCTACCAACTATGAAACATCTTTTTACTAGTGATTACAGGAGCAAGCAGGATGAGTGAGAGCCAAGTCTTCATGACTGACCCTTCTTGTTGCACACTTCCTCTCAACAAGATGTCCCTGAAGCCTCCTCCAAAGATCCCAGCCAAACCAGAAGAAAAGCGTGTCAGTTTGCCAGTATTTTCCTCAAAGTTCAGTTCCTCCTGAGCAAAACTTCATTATATTCACTGGACACTAAAAGAACTTTGGCCTATTACATGCATAGGACCAGGCTGCACTCGAAAGTCTCCACAGCTCTATCTCAATAGCCAATAGATCTTAAGGACACAGTGATAGCCTAGGAACTGTAGATCCTGGGCCACATGATACTGCTAAGGTGGAGCAACTGTCCATGTTATAGGCATTTTCCACTGGTGCTTGGCCATCCAGCCCTATCTAATGTACCCACTGGCAACATCAGGACAGCCACCTACAAACTCCATTCATATCTTCACATTACACCATTATAGAAGCCTCAAGAGCTTGGGACTCCCATGTGATTAGCATGGGAGTCCCATACCCAAGGGGATACTGTCTACTGAAGGGAACTCTGAGATCTCAAAGCTATACAGATATCATTATTTCAGTGTACATGGGGCTTATTTTGATTTAACTTAAGTCAAATCCTAGACCACATTTACACCAAGAAGCTGCCTGAGTTTAACAGGGTATAAAAAGCGTTTAATAAAAACCAAAGCAAACCTTTGTGTTGATGCTCTTATATCAGTTAAAGTTAACATTGAGATAACCAAAAACAACCCTAGTTTGAACTGAAATAAGAGGGTCCACATAAGAGTGACTGATACCTGTAAATCTAGTCAAGATTTCAGCAAAGCATAAATGGTCATAGTAATACCCTCTCCCACTGACAGGTGGCTCATTTTTAGTGGGGTAGGCATGTTTGCCAGGCAAGCAGAGAAATCTTCACTGCTGGCACTCTCCCTTTTCTTTGGAGAACGGAAGGCTGGTCTCCAAAGCAGTCAGTTTACCAGTTGTTCATGAAGAAAACTGTAACAAAAAGAACTAGTAAGAAGTCTCAATGAATGTGAAACAGCCTGCACGCTGTAAACCAATACTGTGAGATGAAACCCAGATACACTGTTACTGTCAGATAAATTAGTTCATTTCCATATAATTCTATTAACTCTGGTAAATTATTGTTTGTCTTTACAGGGGTCTTATCGCTGTGGACCATGCAAAACTGGATACGTGGGAGACCAGATCAAGGGATGCAATGCTGAGAAAAGCTGCAGAAATCGAGCACTGAACCCATGCAGTATCTATGCACAGTGTATTGAGGAGAGGCAAGGAGATGTTTCATGTGTTGTAAGTTAATGATACAAAGTATTTTAGGATTCTGCTTAAAAGCTCCCCAAAAGAGTCCTGGAAAGGGAGGGAACAACTTGTTTTATGTCTTGTATATAGAAATGTTTTGGTCAGTGAACTATGACACACAGCTGACGTGGTTACAATCATAGTTGAATTGTGTCCATAACATAGACATGGTATTTTTCCATAGAACACCTACAGATAACCATACCTGGGTGTTTACATTTACCATGTTAACTAACATCCTTTTTCATGTTGTGCTTCAGGGAAAATATAGCTACTATCCTGTGCTGTCTCAGCAGAAAAGAGCTCTGAGTAGTCATACATCCAGAGCTGCAGCAGTACTCTCTGGGATGTTCTACTGTACAGAGTTACAAAAAGGGTTTTTTGACTACATAAATGTGTACATAACACGTAATGAGAGAGAGAGTTCACCATGTTAGTTTGAAGATAACAAGATAATGGCATGCCTAGTATTTACCTGGTAGTCCAGATTGTATTTTTTGTGGAGCAGCTAAGAATACACTTCATGTGTAGATCCTCCTGTCCTATTAGTTCTGGAGTTTGCAACTTTCAAAAGCATTGTTGAGATTTATTGGTGTGGGATAGCGTAACAAAAGTTTACACTGCTGGACTGAAACCAAAGGTGTTCCATCAGCCATCCTAGCCTCTGAACCTTGCTCAACTTGCTGCCTTAGAAGCAAAAAATTGTTTCCATGTCTGGAGTTTGCAATTTTCTCCTTGCCTCTGTAGCTGAATAAAGGTATGGACACACATAACATTTAGGATGTAACAGCTACTGCCCTTCTGAAATGTTCCCCTTTCAAAATGGCTCCAACAGTATGTTTGTCCATATCTTAAATCTGCTTATGCTGATACTTCGCTTGCTATAACTGCTGAAGGCAGTCATCTCGTGCTAAGGGTATTAGATTACAGAAAACAACTGGGATTCTTGAAATTCTTGTCTGTAATGGCAAGATTTCCATGTATTTGTGCTAAAGGGAGTCAGGATAGGATTGAGATCTGCATGCAGTTTTACATGCATTTACCCAAATCTTCAGCAATCATATTCTCTTATTAGGTAATGGTATAAAATTATATTAATTAGATACTTACCTAAATATTTGTGGGCAGACATGCTCCATTTGCTAATGCAATCTTAGTAACTACATGTAAAATTTTTCCAAAGAGATTGCAGAGTCTAGGAACATCCATTTTGCATGTCTGCCCTATTTTTCCAGTGAAATAATAATATCTTGTCATCCTCAAGGAGGCTCTTAACCTCTGCTTCATGCTGAATCCTGTTTACAGTGTCCAAAATGTCCACTAGTATTGGATATCCAATTTGAGATACTGAGGACCACAGCATTCACAGCCCCTAAGGAAGTCATTGGAGTTTTGGGGTACTCAGCATTTTTTAAGATCAGGCCCCACATGTTTCAAGCCAGGAACCCAGGATTGAGTCATCAGTTGTTAGTGGATTTCATACTTTGTAATTATTGTTTTTTTAATCTGTATTAATAGGTATCAATAAGTTCTTGATAATATTGCTATTAATGTCGGTGCTTTCTGTATATTGCTCCTTTCTAAAATTAATGTGGGATTTCCCATCTTAAGCACTGTTGTAAGTGTTTGCAAAATAGAATTTTCATTCCTTCTGAAATTCTGTAATCGTGCTTTCATTTGTAGTGTGGTATTGGTTGGGCTGGTGATGGTTATATCTGTGGAAAGGATGTAGATATTGATGGCTATCCTAATGAAGACCTCACATGCTCTGCTGACACCTGCAGAAAGGTAGGATACTCACCCTTGCTCAGCAGGGATCCGAGTTTTCCGTTTCCTATGGAAAAACAGAAAAAAACCACAGATTTCCCCTTCTTATCAGAGAAAACACTGATTTCTCCGTTTAGCAGAGAAACCCATGGATTCCCTGCTTTTGTAAAAATCTCTGCAGGCTGGTTGAGCTCCAGCCTGCAAAAGCTGTTTGCAAACAGAGCAGGAAAGCCCCAGCCCTGCCTGGAGAGAGAGTGGGAGGGGGAAGGGCAGGGCCTGAGGCTCTGTCAGCCACAGCTCTAGGCTCACCTCAGCTTTACTCTTCCCTCCTGGAGCCTGATGTAAGTGGGGCTTGCAGGGGTATGGGGACCCCTCTGGCAGGGCTGGGGGTTGCGGGTCATGGCTGGGGGCACCAGCAGGGCTGGGGAAGCGAAAAGCCTTCTCCGCCCCCACCCGAGCAAGGAGCTGGCTCCATGCTGCTTCTGCTGCAGCTGCCTGTTATTGGGGGCAGGGAGCTGCAGACTTGGGTCCCTGGCCCTATAGCCCTTGCAGCTGGGGGCCCCCTCCAGCAGGGCTGGGGGGCAAGGGCTGTGGGTGGAGGCAAGAGGCATGAGTAGGGCAGGGGGGCTGTTGTGGGGGCGAGTGTGGGGCACCAGCAGGGCTAGGGAGGGCTGCAGGGGGCTTTTAATTTTAATAATGGATTTGGAGGGTTTTATCAGAGAATTTGTGATTTTGAGAAAAACCAGGATCCCTGTTGATAAAAGGGAGAGATTAAGGAAAATATTACAAATTGTCAGCAACTTTCTGCTTTTTTGCAAGATGCCTAATGTTTCTTGTATTTAAAAAAAAGTATTTCATTTGAAAAACTTTTAAAGTTAATAAAGAGAATGAAAATTCACAGGAAGATTCAAGTATCCCATGGGATGCTGGTCATATTTGAGGGTTTTATTTTTTGCGTAGGACAACTGCAGATTTGTTCCAAACTCTGGACAAGAAGATGCAGACGGTGATGGAATAGGAGATGCCTGCGATGATGATGCTGATGGAGATGGAATACCTAATGAACAGGTGCTGTATATAGCTATGGAGCTAGTTTAGGTGACGGTCTATTTTGTTAGATGCCATGATTGAACTTCATAGCATTGTATGAGTCCATTGACAGCATCTAATGCAGTAGGCTGTCATCTACAAAAACTCATGTCTCTCTGAACAGGTTAGTTGCTAAGTTGCCACCCTTCAATTTAGCAACTTCAAGCCCTACCTCATGCTTGAACAAGTAGGAGATTGAAGCCATATTTTTATATGGAAGTCTTAGATTCTGGAATATTGATTCAGTGACAAACATATTCATCAATAATATTTGTTGCTAAAATATTCATTGACAGCCACCGAAATGTTGAGAGAAAAGATGACTAATAATGTTGATCAAATGAAAAATATTGCTAATGAATTTAGACAGCATCTGACAAAGTAGGTTGTTGCCTGCAAAAGCTCATGTTAGAATCAGTTAGTCTGTGGGTGTCTTTACACGTGCTCTGGGGTGGGAGACGGGCAGTTTTATTGGAGCGGCTCTCAGGAGGTGAAGAAGTGGGACTCCTCCCCATTTAAGACTATATGCTCCTCACCTTCCATTGGCCTTGTAATACTGGTACTAAATTGGAAGGTACATTAAATCTGGACACGAGTTTTCTGTATCAAAAAGTCAAATTACCTTTTATTTTGGTCTGTTTGAGAATATGCCGGTAGGGGGCACTTGTCTTCCACCAAGTGGATTGAAGTAGCAAACTTGTTTATGCACCCTAATGTACAGTCTCTCAAATTGTATTAAATAAGAATGTCTGCATTTCTAGGCAGCCCATCTCAGTGGACCTATGTGAAATTAGAAACAATATCCTAGGTGAGAAGAAAACCCCTGGGACAGCTGATCTTTTTGCCACTCTAATAACTCACAATTGGCAAATAATTGGTGAGATTTATTCCAGGTGTAATGAACGCACAGACTGTCATATGCCTCTTAGTAACATATTTCCTCCTGCAAAAAAAATAAAATTCAAGCCTATATCTCATGTAAGTGAAAGAACTAGGATTACTTGACTCCAGTAAGAATCTAACCGAATGGAACCTGTGTCTGTCTCTCTTTTAGGATAACTGTGTTTTAATCCCTAACGTTAACCAGAAGAATAGTGATCAAGATATCTTTGGGGATGCTTGTGATAACTGTCGTACAGTGCCGAATAATGACCAGAAGGACACAGACGGTGACGGGAAAGGAGATGCCTGTGATGACGACATGGATGGAGATGGTTGATAAATGTTCACTCATAGCTTCTATGCTAGCTGTGACACTCACTTAATGTGCACTACACATTGAAAAGGATAATTGCCACCATCCTTTAGGCATCTCTAAAACTAAAATATCACTATTATATTTAATTTAAACAGTGATGGAGTCACCCACAGTTGCTATGTGAAACCAAGTAATTTTGATGGCTTGCTTTCTTGCAGCTGGCATGACTGCTGAAAATGACAGAAAGGTTGTGGTAGGAACTCCACTAATTAATATGTGAGACTGTTGAATTGTGATAAATATGAATCCCAAGAGCAGCAGCTCACTGGACTTGAAATACAGCAAGTCTTAAGATGTTGTCTCTTAGTCAGCACATCTCCTCTTGAGAGTGTGAGAAAGGAAATGCAGGTGGAAATGGAATAAGTTTTCTGTTTACAGACCTTTTGTATACTTGTATCTGTGTGTGTGTGTGTATGTGTGTGGATATACTTTCATATGTATATCCACACACACAGACATACAAACATATAGATGGGCCAAGGATGTATACAAACATAGTACATGGTTTGTAGTTTGTATCCAGACATACACTATAGATAATATAGTATACATAATATGTTACAAATGTATACATACTTTTTAGCATCCGGTCAAAGCTGTGGGTACTGTATAGCAGTTAAGCTGCACAATAATTCACATGAAAATTAAGAGTATTAAACATGAAATGGATTATCAACACTAACAGCAGAACCTACAGGACCAACCACATCCCAATATATCAACTTGCCTCTTGCCCACATATTCAGGAGGTTCATATTTTGTCATAGTTTATTCTCACTGTTGTGTGGGTCTCAGGGGGAAAACATCTTGGGTCCTTTTAAATATACTGGTAATAATGGGCAAATAGTGTCAGTTGGTGTAAACTGTAATGTGAGGGAATTGGATACAATGGGGTGTACGTGATTAAATGGAACACACAGCAATGCCCTTAGTTTAGTGCTTCTAACCTTTCTTAAATGATGTGTAGAGAAAAACAAGAAAGATATGCAGTTAGGGTTTATGAGGCAGTCATGCACCATGTCCCAAGTGACCAACCACAGACACTGAGTGTCGCTGAACAGTAATGCTGCAATATATCCATTTTGAAAAAAGCTGTAATATTTAGAAAACTTAAGGAGTCATTTGGACTGACATCAGGTGTTTTCAGGTATTAAGAACCTTTTGGACAACTGTCAGAGGATCCCCAACCAGGACCAAAAGGATGAGGATAATGATGGTGTTGGTGATGCTTGTGACAGCTGCCCTCGTATCAGCAACCCCAACCAGGTCAGTGGGGGGAAGAAAATCTGTAAGATACTCAGCCCTGCTATTAGTGTGACAAGTGACTATGGAGAACTAAACAACTGTGAAAGAATGTGGAGACAGAATATTAGGTATTCCTGCTTGACTAAGTGCTGTTTAGAAAAACTGGGGAAACGTTGAATTTGGACAATGGCGTTGGATGCAGAAGTAGTTAGGTGCATTTCCATACAGCGTATATCATGTCTGCACCAATGAATGATCTGTATTGCTGTAATATGGTGTTCACAACTGGCCAAGTCCAACCCCACAAAAACCAATGGCAGAACTCCATTGGGAAGTCCCAGTTCAGTCCCATTAATCATTCATTACCACCAGTATAGCTTTGTCATTTTAACGTATGCTTTCCTCATTTAATACTATAACTTCCCCTTTTTCTGTTTGTAGTCAGACATTGACAATGACCTGGTTGGAGATTCTTGTGATACCAATCAAGACAGGTATTGTGCGTCGTATTTCTAATTAATATCAATTGGCAAGCAGATTAATTTAGCTCTGGTGTAAGGTAGTCCATTGCCACTGACTTCAGAGTGGCACTTCTACAAACAAACCCAATTTACCCCATTGTTTTCAGTTCTTTATGCCTGCTATGTTCACATTTAATATTTTCAATACATCAGATTCTCTTCTGAAATAACAACATCTGGCCCGCTGGGGGTGAAGGGGAGCTCCAGAGCCACTCCTGCCCTGCTCCAGCTGGGCTGCTCAGGGAGCCAGGATCAGCTTGGCACTGCAGCAGCAGTGGCAGTAGATGAGTTCCCCCTCTCTGGCCAGCCCCCACAAGTGTTCCCCACCAGCCAGGGAGCAGGCTTAGAGAGTGGTA